TTTGAGAGTACTCTGATTATATGGTTTGTATTACTTTTCTTTCTTTTTTTTATTATTATTATTAACATTGTATTATGTGATACAGTTTTATAGGCGCTGGGGCTTCCCCCCACCCCTCCCATAACCCCTCCCCCCATAGTGAATTCCTCCACCTTGCTGCATAACCACAGTTCAAGTTCAGTTAAGATTCCTTCATTGGAAGCATATACTTAGCATAAAGTCCAGCGTCTTATTGTCCAGATAAGTTCAGTGGCCTCTTGGGGAGACCTTCTCTGGTCTGAAGGTAGAGCTAACAGAGTAAAGTTCCAGTCAGTTAAAAGCCCCAACAAAACCTCAGTATCAATATACAACATTATGGAATTAATTGACATAGTATTGAGTAAACAATATGTTAAAAATAATGCAAGTTCCATTCTTCGAAACATCTGCGTTGAGACAGTATCAATGACAGGTTCAAAAAATAACAAACAACCAAACAAAAATTATAGGTTAAATCATGGCAAACATGTGGTATCTAACCTTTTGGGATTCACTCATTTCCCTTAGCATTATAGTTTCCAGTTGGGCCCATTTAGCCACAAAGAACCGCATTTTGTTTTTTTTAATAGCTGAGTAGTATTCCATGGAGTAGATGAACCAAAGCTTTCTTATCCAATCTTCTGCTGATGGGCATTTCGGTTGCTTCCATGTTTTTGCAATTACTGATTGTGCTGCTATGAACATAGGGATGCATGTTGGTTTGTCACAAAACAGGTGTTTTGGATATATTCCTAGGAGTGCTGTTGCTGGGTCATATGGTATGCCAATTTTGAGTTGTTTGAGTGTTCTCCAGACTGATTTCCATAAAGGCTGTACCAATTTGCAGCTCCACCAGCACTGGAGTAGGGTTCCCTTTTCCCTGCATCCTCGCCAGCAAGCGTCATTGGTGTTCTTGTTTATGTGGGCCAATCTTACTGGTGTTAGGTGGTACCTCATCGATGTTTTAATTTGGATTTCCCTTATTGCCAGGGAACTGGAGCACTTTTTCATATGTTTGTTTGCCATTTGGACTTGTTCCTTTGTGAAATGTTTGCCCATTTCCAGTGCCCATTTCTTGAGTGGCTTGTTTGCTTTGGTTTTTTGGTTGTTTTGAAGTTCTTTGTATATCCTGGAAATTAGCCCCCTATCGCCTATGTAGTGTGCAAAGATCTTCTCCCACTCTGTGGGTTGCTTTTTCACTTTGTTGATTGTTTCCCTTGCTGTACAGAAGCTTCTTAGTTTGATGTAGTCCCATTTGTTTATTCTGTTCTCAACTGCTATTGCTTTTGGTGTCCTTTTTAGAAAGTCCAGACCTACTCCTAGGTCTTGCAGGGTATTTCCTACATTTTCTTGCAAGAGTTTGAAGGTTTCTGGATGTAGGTTTAGGTCTTTTATCCATGTAGATTGGATCTTAGTGTATGGTGATAGATGTGGGTCTATCGTTTTGTTTCTACAGGCTATCAGCCAGTTGTCCCAACAACATTTACTAAAGAGGCCTTCCCACTTGCTTGGACTGTCATTGGTCTTTTTGTCAAAGATTAATTGGCTGTATCTGTGTGGGTTCCCTTTTGGTGCTTCTATTCTATTCCATTGATCTTCCTTTCTATCTTTGTGCCAGTACCAGGCTGCTTTGATAACCACTGCTCTATAGTATGTCCAGAGGTCCGGGATTGTGATTCCCCCTGCTAACTTCTTATTCTTCAGGATGGCTCTAGCTATTCGTGGTTTTTGTGCTTCCAGATGAACTTTTGAATCATTGTATCCAGTTCCGTGAAGAATGTTTTGGGCAATTTGATTGGAATTGCATTGAAAATGTATATTGCTTGTGGTAGTATAGACATTTTAATGATATTGATTTTGCCTATCCAGGAGCATGGGAAGTTATTCCATCTTTTGAGGTCTTGTTCAATTTCCTTTTTGAATAGTTTGTAGTTTTCTTTGAATAGGTCTCCTACACTTTTGGTTAGATTTATTCCCAGATACTTCATACTTCTCTCTGTTGTTTTGAATGGTATCCTGTTGGTTAGATCTTCTTCCATCTTGGTATTATTTGCGTACACTATGGCTGTTGATTTTCATTCATTAAGTTTGTACCCTGCCACTCTGCCGAACTCTCGTATAAGTTCTAGTAGTTTCTGTATTGAGTCTCCTGGTTTTTCTATGTATAGGATTATGACATCTGCATATAGTGAAAGCTTGACTTCCTCGTTTTCCTATTCGTATGCCTTTGATTCCTTTTCTTGTCTTATGTCCTCTGCAAGTACCTCTAGGACTATGTTGAATAGCAGTGGTGATAGCGGGCATCCTTGTCTTGTTCCAGATCTCAGTGGGAAGGGTTCTAGCTTTTCTCCATTCAGTATGATACTGGCGTTGGGTTTTTCATAAATTGCTTTGATTATGTTGTGGATTTTCCCATCTATGCCTACCTTGGCTAGAGTTTTTAGCATGAAGAGGTGTTGGATTTTGTCGAAAGCTTTTTCTGCATCTATTGAAACTAATATGTGGTTCTTGTTTTGCAGTTTTTGGATGTGGTTTATGACATTTATGTATTATTTTTCTAATGTTTTTTTAATTCCAGTGTCTTTATGAGGCTTTTTCACAAAACAAAACAATTTAGGTTACCTGAGCTTTATTAAAGTCTCCTTGGTTTAGAGTCCAAAGATGGTTTATTTTTCCCTAAGAGTTTTGCTTTTTTTTTTTTTTGCATTTGACGCTTTATGTTATATATAAGAGCACGGTGCATTTAAATTTTTATATAAAATAAAATTTAGGTTTTTGGTGTCATAAGTAAACCAGATGTGGGAGAGAAGGTGGCTAGCTGTAATTTTTGACAAGAATTGCAAATGAATTTAGAAAAAAATGGACATTCCTACTAAATTTTCTCACAGTCTGTAAACAGGTTCATTCTACCTATGTAGCACTTTGAATTCTTGCACTAGTGTTTTTGCGATTTTCATCCTTTGTGGAAATCACCCTGTGAAAAGTAGTGTAGGAGAGCGAACAGTTCTGGCAGTTTCCCCAGACCATTCCTACCTTAGGGACCCTGGAATCCGCCAAAGGCTGTGGAGGCTAGGTGCTGCCCTGCACACCACAGCAGGATGCATGTGACTGCCCCTACCCCCTCCCACCCCCCAGTCCAGCTGCCTCCTAGGCTCTGAGACCTTCCCATTGGGTGAGGGGGGTGCTGGGCGGACTCTGGGGCTTTGCCATCCCACTGCATCCCCGTTTCCCCCCACGCCGTGTGCAAGTAGAATCTCCCAGCCTGGACTCAAGACCCCATCACAGTGGGCTGCTAGCAGTTGACTTGCCTGCAATCGGGCAGTGAGGTAAGACTTCTGCTACTGGGAGGATGCCCCCAGGACAGGGCTGTGGGGTGAGAATGGGATGTAGTCCTGGATGTGTTTTGGCATTGCATGCTGTTAGCACATCTCTCTGGGCGTAGTGGTCAGGAGCCGCCAGCCTATCTTCCTGCTGACACTTTGCCTTAGCAGGAGCTGCAGCCATGCAGAGGGAAACTTGGCCGTGCCTTGGGTGCAGGGGTTTAGGTCTAGGGAGCCGCGTTCATGCAGTGGATGCAATGGGAGCCGCGGCAGTGCCACAGGTGCAGGTGTATAAGTCTTGGTTGCCGTGCGCATGCTGCGGGTGGACCGGGAACCGCGGGCGTGCCGCGGGCGTGCCGCGGGTGCCCGTTTTTTAGTCTTGGAAGCCAGGGTTGTTCAGAGGGTTCAGCTGGAACCACAGCTGTGCAGCCCGTGCAGCGAAAGTGGTGGTCCTGCAGCCCGTGCCGCGGTGGTGCAGAGGGACCCTGGGTCATGCCGAGGGTTCCCCGTGAGCTTCGGGCGATCCACGGGAGCCAGTGTATAAGTCTCCTGAGCCGCGGCCGTGCCGCGGGTGCCGCGGGTGCCGCGGATGCTGGTTTTTAAGTCTCCAGAGCCTCGGTGGTACAGCCAGTGCAATGGGGGCCTCTGCCGTGCCACAGGTGCAGATGTATAAGTCTCAGGAGCTACTGGTGCAGCTAGTACAGCTGGTGCAGCGGGAGCTGTGTCCCTACAGCGGGTGTAGGTGTTTAAACCTCGGGAACTGCTGCCAAGCAGCCAGTGCAGGTGCTCAACTCTCACCGTGACTTTGCACTGAAGGCACGCTCAGTTTCCAAACCATAAAATTAAACATCACCCCTTGATCCCATATTACAGACTTACTTTCTGAGTTCTTGCTCCCCTATTATCTTCCCCTTGCCCAAAGCGCCCCCTTTGCAATGTATTCCTCGTTTTCTCATTTAGATGGGGATAGACTGTCATGGACATTGTGCCCCACATATGTTTTGAGTTTCTCACCTGTTTCTCTTCCAGTTACAGCACCTTGGCTCCCAACGCATAAGGACATAAGATTCCGTGTTTCTGAGCAGGTTTGTAGTGAGCAGAAGGCGAACCTGCTTGTGAGGGGTGGGGCAGCAAGGCTGGAGTTGGGCAAATTCCGCCCCATTCCCAACAGGTTGTTCTATACTATGTAGACATTTTCGTTCTTAAAAATTTTTTGAAAGACAGAGAGGTTGAGATAAGAACTCTTCTATCCACAGGTTCATCACCCCCGTCCCCCGTAGAAAAAAGTTCGGCGGGAGGCGGGGGAAACTGGGAGCCCAGAAATGATGCAGTGGCAAGAACTCTGCCTATTTCCTTCCTCAGGGTGTGCATTGGGAAGTGAAGCTGAAATGCAGACGCCTCCTCTCCATCCCCCCGCCTCCGCAATGCAAACAGTGGACATTGCGTGGGGGAGGAGGGCACAGCAGGGCTCTCTACGCATCATGTGCCTGCCCTCTTGTCAGTCTGCCCACCCAGGCAACTCTTAAGTTGCAGCGTGCAAGGCATCCCCGGCAATCAGAGCTTTTGCAGCCTTGCGGGTTGAGAGCTCAATCCTCTTGCTGTCTCTGCTTTCTCCATAGGTGCCTCTTGCCAGCAGCTAGACACCAAACCCGAATCCCAGCAATGGGCAACTCGTGTTTTCCCCTCAAGGAACGCTTGCTGTTGCGCCTGCGGGCTCTGCCCGCCAGTCTGAGCTTGATCCGCGCTTTCACGCGCTACCGGAGAAGAATCGATTACCGCATAGTGGTGGTCGGCTCCACTGGGGTGGGGAAGAGCACCATCGTGAAGCGGTGGGTCCGTGGCACCTTCCGCGACAAATACCTGGCCACCCTTCAGAGCACCCACCCCCAAGGGCTGGGCCGCAACAAAATCGGTGGGCTGCGCATCACCGACACCACAGGCACCCGCCAGTACCCGGGGCTGAAGTACTTTGCCATTCTCAGAGGGCATGCTTTCGTCCTGGTCTACTCCGTCGCCAAGAAGGAAACCCTGGATGAGCTGAAACCCTTCTACGATCTGATCCGCAGAATCAAGGGCAACAACCTGCACAAGTTCCCCGTGGTGCTAGTGGGCAACCAGAGTGACCAGAGCTACCGCGAGCTGAGCGCAAGCGAAGGTGCTGCCCGCGCCCTGGAGTGGAATTGCGCCTTCCTGGAGACCTCCGCCAAGACCGAGTTCAACCTGCAGGAGTTATTCCACATGCTGCTGAACCACGAGAAGATGTCTGCTGCCTGCCTCCCGAACACCCAGAAGAATTCCCAGGTGTCCCAGGCTGTGGAGAAGCTGCTAACTAAGTGCATTGTTATGTGAGCTTCAGAGTCGACTCCCCCCACCCTCCACTTTCCCATAGAGTGTAGAAAGCTGACTCTGCTAGTGTCACGCTTCGCCTGTATACAGTTGGCTTCTGTGCTGTGTCTGGACTGCAACACCTAGACTTCCATAGATGTACCTTGTAACTTGATCATTTCGGGTTTTCCTGGACCAAATGAATTAATGAAATCTCGTCCTTACAAATATTGGCATTTCAGAAGAAAAAAGAAACACTGCATTTTAAATCAGACTCTTATTTGTAAATGGGGGTGGGAAAAAAGCGTTTTCAAGGAAAAAAAGATACCAAAATGAATTGCAAGAATTACAACCCTTCTTGTAACCCTATGATTGTGTCTTGTTTTTAAAATGTCTAGTTCTGTAAGTGCCTGATCATATCTCCATTGTGTGCTTGACTGTCGAGAAATGTGTTTTCCCAACAAATGCCTTGACAGCTTGCTGTGCAATTGATATAGTAAAGATAAAAGGGAATCTTCTGTAACCACTGTGACATGAGGTCCAGAGCAGAAAAACTGCAAGTGACATTTGTTCACCAAAGCGCTGATGATTGTTTGCTAATGTAATCAAAAATCTTGAGCTATTTCTCCTTGTAGCTTTCAAAAAATTTAGCAGTTCCTTAATAAAGCTTTTCTTGTGTGCAATCAATTTTGAGGAGTTTCTTTCTCTTTGGGTCACAAGGCAGTGCGTTATGACTTCAAGGATACTCAAAGGTTGCGAACAAGAACTTCACACAACACCCATTATAAAAGTAGAGGGAAACTCAGCGGGGGAAGGGAGTGGGAAATCCCAGTGCCTATTAAACGGTATCATAAAACAAAATAAAAATCAAACCTTTACACATACATGATCTCTGCAATGCAGAGCTGTTGTGTATCCACAGCATTTCCTACACTGGGAACTGGGAGAACTCCAGGCATCCTAGCAGAAGATGCTCACAGTGGCTGTTGCTGTTTCTAGAGGTGAAAGGCAAAATGCAAGCTCCCATAGAGCTGAGTCTTCTCTCAAGAGCCTGGGAGGGAAGAGAGGGATAGGAGGCTCAGGGGGAGGGAGTGGGGAGTAAGTGCGTGGGACTTGAAACTTGAAAACTCCATAATGGAAGTTTTGTTTAAGCTTTATTTAATTTTATTGGAAAGGCAGATATACAGAAAGGAGAAGAGACAGAGAGGAATATCTTCCATCCAATGGTTCATTCCCCAAGCAGCCACAATGACCAGAGCTGCACTGATTCAAAGCCAGGAACCTCTTCAGGTCTCCCAGGTGTGTGCAGGGTCACAAGGCCATCCTCCACTGCTTTCCCAGGCCACAGGCAGGGAGCTGGATGGAAAGTGAGGCTGCCGGAACACAAACCGGTGCCTATATGGGATCCTGGCATGCACAATGCAAGAACCTTAGCCACTAGGCAGCCCAGGCCACATAATGGAATTTTAAAAAGATTAATTTTAGATTTGAGCATAGTTTTGAACGAGACTGCATAAATAACACATGCCCTTGTTTTAGTGCTTCTTTAATTTGAGGAAATAAAGGGAAGGGGCTTTGAATAGATTTTTCACAAAACATTTTTCATTTAACAAATATCTGTTGGGCAACTTGTATGTTTCTAGGAACAAAGCATAACTGTTGAGAAGGAACCATAAAATATCTTTCACAGTGGCACAGTCTGAGTTTAGAGGCTAGAAAATATATCTAGTGCCTCTTTTTTTTTTTTCAGTAGTCAATTCAAAGCAATTGTTCCCAGTCATGAAAGAATACTTTAGAGGTGCAATCATTTTGCTTTTTAAGTGAATTTTGTTTCTAACACACAATTTCTAGCTTAGCGTAGACTAATTCCACTACCAAAAGAAAATGTTTCACTTTGACTATTCCAGAATTGTCCTTGAAATATATATATTTAATTTATTGCTGTTTCCTATAATTAAGCAAAGGAATTACCAAGGATTAAAGTAACATACAAACACTAACCTTTAGAGAGGAAAGAATAGATTTTCAACTTTTTAGATGATGTGTAGTCAAAAATAAGACATTGTGAGGCACGCATTTTGTACAGCAGCTGAGATGTTGCTGGGCAGGATGATGTCCATATCAGAGTGAAGAGTCCCAAACTTACACAAAAATTCTGGCTTCCCACTACATGAATCCACACCTTGGAGGCAACAGGTAATGCAGGTAATGGCTCTGGTACTCACTGTCCTGATCACCCACTCCTGGCTTTAGCCTTGGCCCAGTCGACACTATTGCCAGCATTTGGGGAATTATGTGGTAGATGATAGCTGTCTCTACATTTGAATCAAGTAAACACACATTTTTAAAAATAAAATGGCATTGTACTTTCATATAACTTTTGGTGAGAATCAAGATGGCGGAATAGGGTAAGGACATGTTTAAACGGACAGAGAAACATTTCATCAGGATGATGCAGAGAGCACATATTTCAAGAAATAAGAAGGAACAGAACAACAGCAGAGGAGTACCTGGAGACTGACAGACACAGGAAAGAAGCGGACACAACAGTGTGGTGTAGCAGTGACTGATACTGCAGCACAGCAATCTGAATTCCACCAGCAGCTGAAACTCTACCACCAACCAGGTAGGAAGGGACTTGCACTGGGACCTCGGGGAGGTGAACCCAAAGGACTGTCCATCCTGCTGGTCCATTTGATTTGACCAGGAGCAGAGACAGAGCAGGTCTCAGGAGGGCGAGAACAGGGTGGATTTCATAGCCCAGTCAGCCAGCTAGAGCTGAATTGGGTGCAATTTTACATGAGGAGGAAAGGCAAGGGAAAGGAGTGAGCATACGCTGAGCTGGGAGTGAACTTACTTCTGATTCGGTGAACTGCAACAAGGTGTTATTCTACGGGTTCCATCCGGGGCAGGTCTGGGTAGCCCTCGGATCCTACAGCCAGCAGATGAAGAACTGTAGTGGTGGTATGTCAGACGCCATTCTGCGCACTATGGAAAACGCTTTGGGACTGCAGCAGACAACAGTGAACTGCGCATGTACTGAGCTCGCGAGAACTCGCTGAGGTCCCACAGGAAAATAATACCGACTGTGGCATCGTACCCATCAAAATAGGTCCGTGTTGCACCCAGACCTAATGTCCAACAGGTTCTGGCAAGATCTGCGCCACCCAGAACCTAACTAGATAAGACACCTGGTGTCTCTAATCCTGGGACCTGCTCCAACCAGAAGTGAGAAAAAGGTTGTACTTACAATGGTGCAGCCTCAGCACGGTATCACGGGAGATAGAGAGTGGTGAAGCCAGGAGCTGAGGCTGTAGAGAACACGGTGGAAATCTGACATAAGTACCCAGACCTGGAGCAAATTAAAAGTACAGTGGAGAGTCCCCAAAATAGAATGAAGCAAGCAGAAGAAAGAATCTCAGAATCAGAAGACATTTCCTATTATCAGGATGAAGCAAACAAAAAGCTGGAAGCAGAGCTGGATCAGGTCAAAAAAAAGTATTCAAGAATTGAAACATGCTGGGGTCCTTGCAGTAGGTGTGGATGGTACAATAGTGTGAAAAGAACAGCTCCCCTGCTTGCAGGGCCCACGGGACCTTCCACCTATTTGGCAGGACTCGGCGAATGTCTCTCTGACCACCTTGACACAGCCTCACCAGCTTTTTGCATGGAAAATCAAGTACCCCACCAAGAATTCTGTAATCCATTGAAGCATTGTTTGCCCTTGTGAGATGGCTTTTGCCACCAACATGAGCTTGAGAGGCAATGTTATTGATAATGTCTTGGTGAGTGGGTGTTTAACTGCACACAGGAGTACAATTATACACATGTCATTTTTGGACACCTTATACTGTACCTGCCATTGCCCTGAAATCGGGCCCAGACATATAGCATGCCTTCTGGGAAATGGCGTAATAAGAGTTTTACCAAGTAAGGAAAGTAATGGGAGTGAGAGCTGAGACTGCTATATAATAATTGTTATCTCAAAGGCTAGCCTGTCTTTGCAATTTTTTGGAGCATAGAAAATGCAACTCTTTTAGCCACCTTTACAATAATTAGCTAGGGAAATGAAGGATGCTTTTATTAAAGAAAAATGCTTTTGATTAATGTTTTATGGTTTGTGGGGTTGTAGAGTCTATAGTTGTAGGGGGATTTAATATTTGGAACTTTTGTTTTAGATTTTGGATTTGTTCCCTTTTTACTTATTTTCCCATTAAATAATGGGTAAATTGTAGAAATAGAAATGTGGTAGGAATGTACTGCTGATGAGCAGGTAGTCGCATGTGTCTTGACCTTGGAGTCCCGACAGTTGCTCCAAGTCTACTGTTTAGGAATGAATAATGGCTTGCTTTTAGGAATATGAATACAGCATTTTGCAGAATTATCTTTAGGGGCACCTGCTTAGCTTTGAAGTGCAGACGGAGTGACCAGTGACCAAATCCCTGTACATGCCCTCTTAGTCTTGAACTAAAAATAGAACAATTAGTTGCTTGTGTAGAAGCGTGTAAGGTGTCTGAGTAAATAAAAAGGACAGCTTTTTCTTAAAAAGCTTCTGTGAGAACGCACCAAGTGTCTGTGTCTGTGTGTTGATCACCGACTCCACGCACCCTTCCCGAGCTCCGAACTCGGCTGGAGCTGGACTCCGGGAAAACACACTATTCAGAGGCCAAATATAAGAGTTATGGGAGTCCCAGAAGGTGCAGAAACAGAAGCTGAGTTTGCAAATGTATTTAGTGAAATAATATAGGAATATTTCCCTAATCTAGAAAAAGAATTGGGAAACAAGATCCAGGAGGTGCACAGAACTCCCAACAGGATTGACCAAAAGTGACCTTTTCCATGACACATGATCATCAAGCTCTCTTCAATTGAACATAAGGAAAAGATCCTTAAATGTACACGTGAAAAAATTCAGTTGCCATATAAAGGAATTACAATTAAACTCACAGGAGATCTCTCACAGGAAACTCTACAGGCAAGAAGAGAATGGAGTGACGTATCCAGATTCTAAAAGAAAAAAAAAA